TAGCAGGTGTAACGTTGGAAAAAATAAATGACATGCTAAAGACTCAATCTAGTACTCAAACAACATGTGGAAGTACATAATAATAATAATGCTGTTAACGATTCTGCAATGGAATGCCAGAAGCATTATTGCAAATGGTCCAGAATTTAAAAAGTTTATAGATCTATTAAATAAGAAACCAAACATAATTTGTCTACAAGAAACACGGTTAAAACCCAAGTTAAATTTTGTTCTGCAAGGATATAATATTGTAAGAAAGGATAGAATTGCAGGTAGTCGTGCTCATGGAAAGCAGCACACAAATGTTTGGAGCAGACACAGTGGCAGCCAGATTGTCCCACATGTGTTCCCCTACTCTTGCTTCTAGGTTGTGTGGTCCAGAGAGCCGTCATCATGGTCTTCCTCATCCTCTTGCTCAACGATGTTTATTTATTGTGATGCTTGCTTTTATTCATTCCTTTACTCATTTATTCATGTTTCTTATTGTTGTCAGTAAATAAAATATTAATATTTTATTAATTCATGTATTAATTGCTTGATTGAAAATTGATGTATTCACATCGACTGCATTTGTTCAACTGTTTATGTATAGCTATGTCACGACAAAAAATATATATTTTTTTCATTTTAAGTAAAAAAAAAAAATAAAAAATAATTATTGGTTAGCATTTATCATTATTATTGCATGTAAGTGTTGGGGTGGGCAAACGATGCAATTCATTCTGGGGTAATCTTAATGTTTAAGTAGTAATACTTAAATTTTTAGAGTATAAAATCAACAGTCTTCTCCAAAGGCGAGATCTTCGAGCAGCTGCCCGACATATCCTTTGTGCAGATATTGCAAACACTGAGGAAAACCATACTAGATTGTTGAGTTAGTGATGCTATGAGGTGTTAGTGCACCTGTCCCTCTTTTTTATTATTATTATTGCCGAACTTATAATTACATAAAAGATCAGGGAAAGATGGTTGTATCTAACAATGAACAATCATAATGGCATATATTATATTAGTGTTATATCACACACAAAACTTTTTACAATCACACACGACAATACAATATGAATTGTGATGTTAAAAATGAAACCGTGGTTCCGAACAGCACGAACAAATCATAGAAAGATAAAAACAAAATTTTCATACTGCTACAGCTAAGGCTAAAGCTCATTTTTGTTTGGTCTGGTTTCAGAGTTGGCCTACTACAGTAAAAAAAATTTTGTGATTTATACAGTACGTGTCTTCACCAGGGGCGGATTTAGTGATTTGGGGGCCCCAGACAAAATACAGGAATGGGGCCCTATAAAATTTCACATCTACAACCTTGAGGTTTCTTTCACTGTTGCTTGCTGCTGCACGACCGTGTCCCATAGTTGTGTCCAATCTTTTAGATTTTTCATGTACATGTTATAAATAAAGGATTTCTTGAATGTTGTAAATCCCTTGTTCACATTTGAACAGGTTATAATAGTATTAGAGTAGGTTGGACACTAGGTGGTGCGTTGGGGTAATTTTCACTATGCAATTGTCTACACAACGCAAGGCTGTCTAATTCTTAACTTTAAAATATACATTTATTTTTTATTTATTTTAATTGCACATTTAAATTAAACTGAAGGAAATGATAAATTTACATGCTTAAGGATTATTTCAACCAAACATGAAGTGTGCCTGTGCGGAAAGTGACTGTGCATGGTCCTTCTTGGGTCTTTCACAAAAACGAGTGAGCGCCATTTAAAAAAATTAAAATAGGCCCTATATAATATGCACTGTTGCTTAGTATTAAAATTATAGCTTCAGATGCATGATATTTGTAGGGCCCTATGAAATCCGTTTTATTTTTCCCAAATTAGCCTAAGTTTTATTTTTTCCAAAATCTTTTTTTCCGTTTTAATTTTTCTGGATTCAGTTTTTTTTTCTTTTTAATTTTTATGGATGATTATATTCAATTTAAACAAAAAACATGTCTAATTAATTAAAATCACGAAACTTGTTTAATTTAACAACAATTTAGGCCTATTAAAAGTTTAATAAAAATTACATTCTTAGGGCCCAAATTCTGCGCTTTCTTTTTTTAAATTTGAATTTTTCTGTATTCCATTTTAATGGTTTAATCAAAAACATATCTAATTAATTGAATTCATAAAAACAACTTAATTTATTAATTTGTATACAATAATAGGGCCCTATGAAATTGTAATTTTATTTACTTATTTTTTTGCTTAGAGCCCCCGCTGCTTAGAACAAAGCGATAGAAATCTTTTCCCTGCGTTGCGCTGGGATGGCTCGCGGGAGAACTCGTGTGATTCCCGTTTATATCAAACTCCAGTCCGAACACCACTGGTTACTAGCTTTGGGCTCTGCTCTCACTGAGAATATTTACTTATATAGCATATTTTATTTTAGATGAACTAGAAACAATGTTACATTTATAAGTTTTATTTTGAAATGTAAGTCAATAACAATTGGCTGGAGCCAGAGCCAATGGTGAAAGTCTTTGCGCAAGGAGACCCCGCCCCATTTTGGAGGTTCTGCCCACTTTTGGAGTTCACGCCCCATTGTGGAGATCTCCAGTCTGTAGTTATATCTACTTGTAAAATACCGCTGCGTTCACGCCACGTCATAATTAGCTCATTTCGAAATGACAGCACGTGACGTTCTAATCGGAGTTGCTCACGTTCTTGGAATCGGAATGATGCATTGCTATGGCAACACTATCAACACCTAAACATTGCAGCTACATGAACCTGAGGCGGTCAGGTGATACAGTGATAACATACAAGTCATAACTCCTAGAAAAGTCCCAGTTTACAAGTTGTAATTACGAGTTTTACGAGGACTTGAACGTTTTTTACAAGTTGTATATCGTAATTACGACATGGCGTGAACGCACCTTATACCATTAAACATATGGTTTCTATTAAAAAGATATTTCATTATTGTGTAGCCTTTTGTGTATCGTTATTAATCAGGACTTGGCAAACTAAGTCAATTAGAAGAAACTAAATATCATTCTCCTTTTTGAATTATACATATTAAGTATTAAGCTTGATTAAATTAATTAAAAATGAATCTAGATTATAAAACTGACCTGAAATCAGTTAAAACCGTCAGACACTTGTTCATGGGTTCACCAGATCTATTATCCTCTTGGATTTTTAGAGAAGTCGGTTTGTCAACATGTATTTTTAGGCACATTTGTGAATTTCTGAATTTATGTTTAAATGAGAAACAAAACCGTTAAGCAAAAATAATTCTAAATGCACACAATCCTCTTCGGTGGCAAGCCAATATTTTTCATTGGCAATTTTTGGTAACACTTTCACTACCACATTTTTTTTTTTAATACAAGAATGGCATTTTGAAGAAATATAACAGTCCAGGTGTTTAAATAGTTCACCCAAAATGAAAATTTGCTGAAAATTTACAACAGTTTTAAGTTAAAAACATCTTAATGATGGATTTGTTTCTTACAAACACGCAGGTTTTCACTTCACAAGACATGAACTGATGGACTGGAGTGGTGTGGATTACTTGTGGATTATTGTGATGTTTTTATCAGCTGTTTGGACTCTCATTCTGACGGCACCCATTCACTGCAGAGCATCCACTGGTCAGCAAGTGACGCAATGCTACAATTCTCCAAATCTGAAGAAACAAACTCCACATCTTGGATGGCCTGGGGATGAGTAAATTTTCAGCAAATTTTAATTTTTGGGTGAACTATTCCGTTAAATAAGTACGATCTACAATGGGCTTTGGTGGTGTTCCAGAATGCCATACATTGTGTAGTTACAAACATCAGCCGAAAGGTTGTGCTGATGCTCAACTACACAACCAACACACGTTTTCAGTCAAGAATGGTTATTACAAAGGTACAGGCTTAATGTAATGTTCCCAATTCATTAGATTAAATAATATATATAGTAAAAGATAATCTAACTGCCTGTATGTTTGACATTGAAAGACAGCTTTGACAAAAATAAGCAAACACAGATGTAGTTGTTGATTTATCACTTGTAATGTGATCCTTGTCACATTGCAGCATTATACTGCATATATCACTGCTATCCAGTGGCTTTAACACTGACAAAATATTCATCAGCTCAGTATTGTGACGGTTTGTGCAAAAACCATCCCCGAGACAACTGAACTAGAGCATTTTAAAATAAATCAAACGTGATACAAAAGACGCAGTCAAGTATTTTGAATATTATTGATTACCTAGTACCTAACTAGTCTTCTACCACGCTACAATCCATCACGCTCCCTAAGGTCGCAAAACTCTGGACTTTTGGCAGTACCTAGGATAGCAAAGTCCACTAAAGGAGGTAGAGCTTTTTTTTCGCATTTGGCTCCCAAACTCTGGAATAGCCTTCCTGATAACGTTCGGGGTTCAGACACACTCTCTCTGTTTAAATCTAGATTAAAGACACATCTCTTTGGCCAAGCATTCAAATAATGCATCTCATAATCTTTTACTGCAGTTATATCTGATCAAATGCACATTATTATTCTTTAGTTTGGGTTAAACAAATCAGTTTTGCTTGGTTAGAACAGCAGCTACGCTAATTATGTCTCTATTTGTTTCTCTGTTTCTGCTGGGATTGACATCCCGTGGTAACTAGGATTTACACAAGCTTCAGTCTGGATCCAGAACACCTGAGAAGAGATGATGCCAACCCCTCAGAGGACCTCAGATGATGCCAACCCTGAAACAACATACAGAACTACCACATTTTGCTATAAGTTTGATTGCATCATATAATAATTGCTGTTAATAGTGTTCATCGTCTGTTTGATTACGTCTTTAATTGATTTTTCCGTACATTTCTGCCATATGTACATTAACTGACAGTCACCACTGATAAGCTACCACTAAATATTGTAGAAACTTAATTTGCTGTAAAGTTGCTTTGCAATGATTTGTATCGTGAAAAGCGCTGTACAAATAAACTTGAATTGAATTATTGATTCAAGTTACTTCAGTCAGACAAAGTTATCCATTATAGATGAGTTCATAACACTATTACAGGCTCAAGGCCTTATAAACACTATGAAGCCAAAGTCCGCGAGTGTCTAAAGCTCTTCTGAAGGGTTTATTATGTCTGTAGATGCTGCTGACGCCACCATGTAACCTTTTCCAGGAGGGATACCAGCAGCAAGCGCTTTAGTCCTATCTTTAGTGTCCCGAAATGTCAGAAGGATTTCAAACACTGAAACACATCAGCAAATTATACACTCAGTTTCAACATAGGATGAGGAGGATTATGACTGCAGTATGTAAAAGCTGAGTCAGAGAAAGTGATCACCTTAGTTGATGGCTAGGATTTTTGGAGTGGAAGTTTTTGGGGTTTGGCCACTTCACCATGTACTCATCAATCGGCAGCCGCGCCGTGCGAATGCCGAGCTCTTTCGCCCTCGTGTAGCTTATTTTCTTTAGGAATGCAGAGGGAGATCTTGTTTAGTTTAGCTGTTTCTCCACTATAACATCTCTTTAATAAATGATGATAGAAACACACGAGTCTCACCTTTTGTATGGTTTCATCCACTAAACCTCCTAGGATATAAACTTTATCTTCCTCCACATACTCTAAAGCTAACATGGAAACATAATGAACATTTACATAGAACTAAAATGAAAGAAATACATTTGGTTTATTGTAATGACAGATGTTGTTTAAGGCGGTGTTATTGTTAGCTAAAATTAAAACTATTAAAATTTGTTTTCGTAATGGAATTAAAGCTGAAATAAAATAGAAATAACAGATGAAAAACTAACACTTAAATGAAAATAAAATGAAAATATAAAACTGTAATAAAAAATAATATAAAATATAAAATAATATAAATGTATACATAAAAAACTAATAAAAATGACAAAAACACATATCAAACAAATTAAAATAAAAGAAAAACTAAAATTGAACTGAAATATAAATATAAAAGCAAACAAAAATATGAAAATAAAAGCAATTACAAATATTAATAAATACTATAATAATAAATAATATTAAAGTTTTTTTCTTATTACATTTAATCAATATAACATTTTGATGAAAATGCCACAAAGATTAACATTTTCACCATTTTGAAACAGTATGCACTAATGAATCATGCACAATAAACCCAGGACCGTGCAAAAAAAAAAAAAGTAAATAGGGTAAATTTTGATTTCATGTTGACTTTGAACTAATTCTTAATGCAGTATAGAATATGGGCGATATGAACCTTCACTTGCACATCTTCAGAGGGAAACAGATGAAACCAGCTCTCCTCAGTCACATCAATCTGTGAGATTCAGAGACACAATAACAAAAATTGCTTACTGTACGCAATTTCTACGATTCTTTTTTGTTTTGTTTTTTACTATTGCAGGTTTTAAAAGCAAGATTAGACTAACCAAATAATTCAGGAAGCCGTCATTCATCCGAACACACTCCTTATACAGCAGACTGTCCTCTTTTAACTCCGTCAGAAATACGCGGAAAGGCTGTAAGGCTTTTTTATTGCATCCGTAAAGGCCCTGATCTGACATGCAAGGCGGAAGATTTCCTGTGAGAGAAAAAAAGGTATGAATAAATAAAACTCTCACTTTATTTATCAAGCAAGCAGGGTCAGGTATCAACCTACCAGACTTCTTTATATAAATGCTGTGTTTGTTTAGTAAATCTCACTTTTGGGAGACAGACAGACAGTCAGTCATGCTGAGATCAACACACAGGCGCAGTCCTGCTCCTCTGGCCTCCTCCAGTCTCTCTTTGGTAATCGCTTTTATTGACACGTTTACTGAGCTGTGGGCGGAATTCATTCACATCTGCAAGATAAACATCTAATCAGTTAGGAAGCAGTCTCCGTTCCAGAACACAATATACAATACTGTTCAAAAGTTTGGGGTCAGTAAGAAGTTTCCTGAAGTCTCTTCTGCTCACCAAAGCTACATTTATTTGGTCAAAAATACAGTAAAACAGTGAAATATTATTACAATTTAAAATAACTGTTTTCTATTTGAATATGTTAAAGCGGGGGGTCTAATGCTGTTTAATGCGTTCCGACTGAGCCTGGTTTCTCCCAAGGTTTTTTCTCCATTCCTGTCACCGATGGAGATTTGGTTCCTTGCCACTGTTGCCTTTGGCTTGCTTAGTTGGGGCCACAATTTCTGGCAACATCGCTGACTTGATTGCACAGACATTATTGGAAGAGAGCTGAACTGGATGATGACAACACCGAATCAACAATGAACTGACTTTAGCTGGAAAAATGACTTTGTCTTCTTGTATTATTGACAAACTATTTTCCTGTTTGACACTGAAAAGCTGCTTTGACACAATCGGTATTATATAAAGTGCTATACAAATAAAGGTGACTTGACTTGACTTGACTTCTTTACTTTAAAAAGTTGGATTCTCATGCTAAACATGGCCAAAGTTGAAAAAAACCAGTTGGACGTATGACGGGGTATTTCTGTGCCAAATACACCCCTTCAGTGTTCGTATAAGTTTCTGAAAGTTTTTTAAAACTGTATCTGTCTTTTATAAATCTGATAAAACTAAAGAGTCTTCAGAGATATGAAGGAGGCAATACTACTCTTTAGGTACTCAAGATTAACAAGAGATTGGCTGAAACTGTGTGTTAAGTCCCCTTTAAAATGTAATTTATCCCTGTGACCAAAGTTGAATTTTCAGCATCATTACTCCAGTCTTCAGACGACGAGAGACGAATCTGATTACGAAGAAACATATTTTGTGTTAAACACGTTGTTTTCGAAAGCTGCTCTTAATTTTCATTGATGACTGCAGTGTTAATAATTTTAATTATAGGCCTATAATTCACTGTATTGTATTCATTGTAACTCACTGTAAAACATTTTCAATGAGGAGTAAGCTAATAGCCTAATCTTTTACTATCCTTACAGCGTGTCAGTTATGTGGTGATGCACTATAAAATTATTGCGGGGAAAATTAATTGTAATAATAATTTAATAATAAAAGCAACCTAATAATAATAATAATAATAGGCCTAATAATAAAAAGAATGTAACAGGCCTACATTAATTGGAACATTAATGCCAAATCCTCCAATAAACATCTACAAACATGAATAACATATCAGTTGAAGTTCAGATGGTTTCCTTTAGAATTAATTTTACCAATAGCCCAAATTAGTGCTCAAAAAGAGTTAATATTATTCATTCTTTGTGCGTGTTAGCTGCTACATACTTATATGTATATGTAGTATGAATTAGCATTACAAAACATTAAATAAAGCCATTTACAGGCAGTTCATTGTTAGTTCATGTTAACTAGTGCATTAACCAACATTAACTAATTAAGCTGTTAATGTGAAGAGATGCATTAGTATATCTGTAAGGTATCATTTAACTAGCACATTTGTATGCATAAGTTAACATTAAAGTGCCCCTATTATGTCATTTCCAATAGGGATGCACCAAAATGAAAATTCTTGGCCGAGGCCGAACAAAATGATACACTGGGCCAAAGGCCAAAGACCGAACGCGGTTTTTTCGAGTTTTTTCCCCATGTATTTTGCCAGTTTTTTTCACCATTGCATAAATTAAATAGCCAAAATGTGCTTTTTACTGTTTTGTCTTGCTTTTCAAAGAAAAAACCAATTACAAAACAACAATTTAAAAATATTTAACACTGAACTTTTTTTTAACATTCTAGCAGACATCATATCAACAAAGCACAATTTAACTTAAAATTATTAAGTTAGTAAAATAATATTTTTTGGCCATCAGACCCCCTTCTTGAATCAGGCATGTATTTTTTTACTGTACAAATAAAAGCAGCCTTGGTGAGCAGAAGAGCCTTCTTTTAAAACATTAGAAAATATTACAGATCCCAATTTGAACACTATGTGTGAATGTTATAATGTATTAATAGAGCTGTTGTGATTATTATTATCATTATTATTGTCTTACTTTTTATTTTATTTTACAGAACAACAGTAAAATTACAATACTAACATTTATGAATGTTGACGGATTTCTTGCTTTTTCTCAACGTTTATTTTGGCGGAAACGCGCAGGAAGACCTCAGTGCTTCTTTTTGTTGACAACAGCAGATTTATAAATGAGTCTCATTACAAATACGTCGCACGTATCGCATTGTCACATGCCTTGTAAAAATTCATAAAAATGTGACTGAGCAACTGACGAGTAACACTGTTTCAGCGAAGATTTTCCTCACGCTTTGGACTTTGAACCCACGTTAACAAGCAGATAGAATACATGCAATGCGGGCGTGTATTAGAAAACATGCCGTTCTGCAGTTTATTTACTAATTGTTTAAGGCCATTTCGTGATTTCAATCATCATACAGTAAACCAGCAACAATCAGCCCTTCCTCTTCTCATCGAAGACATGTGATGCAGTACTAAACAGTCTCTCGCTGTCGGTGCTTGTAATGATTTTTGCATCTTCTCGGACAGTTTTAAATGTTTTCACACTGCTGACATGTTTGTTGCGCGCCTCTCACTCTACGCTAGTTGCTATTTGATCGCGTCATGTCATTGTTCGGTACAATTTATTCGGTCTTTTCGCTTATTTCGGTTGCCGAACATTCGGTGCATCCCTAATTTCCAATATTGCCTTTCATGCAGTGTGTAATGTAGCTGTATGTGAATGTAAACAGTCTGCAAAGATGTAAAGCCGAAAGTCCACGATAAATAAAGTTATTGTCTCCCAAAAGAAAGAATCGACTCTGAACAGCCTAAACGAGTTGTCACTCGTCAGTAATTCGAATCCCACTTCCGTGACGGCTACACGTCACTGGGTAACACATTTGCATAATTCCCGCCTATGTTCTACGTTTGCCAACCGCGAATAAATTGACCCCGCCCTCAAACACATAATTTTACTGACGACTGCTTCTCTAATCTTGGGAGAGTTCAACATGGGTTTCACAAAACGCTTGCTCTTGAAAGATGGCCCAGTGCACAGTTTATTTAGACCAGCTGGCTCCACTGAATCACAACCTGTAAGTATGATAAATAATAGATGTTTATATTTTCTAGAGCGTTCAAAATACAGAACTAAGGCAATGGGTGTATCGCTTCTGACATGCGCTGTATGCGGTAGACTGATCGCAACAGACTGGGCCGTCTGACCAATCAGAGCAGAGTAGGCTCACGTAAAGGAGGGGTTTAGAGCAGAGGTGCCCAAACATTTTCCTATGAAGGGCCAAAAATCAAACTGGATTGAAAAACACTGCATTATACCAAACTGTATTAAATCAAAATTAAAGTTTTCATGGTTCCCATCATTTATGAGTTCATAATATTTAAAAAATGAATTAATAAAATGAAAACATTACTCCGTAATCTTCGGAGATAAAAATGTTTTATAGTTTATAGTGAAAACATAGAAACACTCCCATTTATAGTACAATAGAGTTCAATGCCTAATACAGCTATTGAAGATAAAACCAACACAGCCATAAGCTTGCAAAATCAGCGACCTCTAATGAGAGACATGAAGCTGGTCCTTATTTTATAAAAGTTTTCCAAATTGGGCTGCAGCTGACTTACTGACAGAGTCAGTATATAATGAGAGTCCGTCAATTTGCTTCTCATTTTACACTTGTTCAGGTTCATCAGACTGAAAGTTTGTTCACAGAGGAAGGTACTGCCAAACAGAGAGAATATCACTTGTGCCTGTTTGCACAGACTTTTTTCAAAAGTGAAGATATTTCAGCAGTATCAGCACTGGGACTTGTCTTTGCGCGCTTGACAGGCTGTCAGTCAATGCAGTTACATTTTTACGCCAGTAGGTGGCGGCAAGAAACGGTCTTTATGAGTAGCCTAGTCACCATTAAACCAGTCTGTTCACTCAACTAATACACATTAAAAAGCTGATTCATTCATGAATGAAACAAGGTGTTGAAGTTAATTTAACTTTGAGCGCCACTTTATAAGGTTCAATCGACGATCAACGTGTCACCTGGGTAACGCTGAAGCTGTACGTAAAACATGCATGTAAATACAATGGGCAATATTGCGTCACCAAAACTTATTGCGCTCATGTCCATATTTCGTACGATAAGTCAATATAGAAATTATTGCGACAGGCCTAGCATCGACAGCATTTTTCACCTCTTCTCGTATTTGGCATATTAAAGGTCACCACGGCCCAACTTTGGCCCTCGGACCCTAATTTGGGCACCTCTGGTTTAGAGAGACTGAATCTTAGAACTGCTTCGAACGAATCGTTTGAGAATCGCTGGAAAATTAGGTGGTATTAAATGCATATTTTGAGAAAACAAAAGCATTTTTTTGACCTTGCATGCATGTAATCCTATTGTAGGAGACTCACTCCCAAAACAATATCAGGAACCTTCAAAATGGCATAATAGGGGCACTTTAACTAAGATTGAGTAATGCTGAACAGATGCGTTGTTCATGGTTAGTTCATTTTAACCAACATTAACTGATACAACCTTATAAATGTGAACCTTATTGTAAAGTGTTAACAAAATGTCTTTACTGTCACTTTTGATCAATTTAATTCATCTTTGCTGAATAAAAGTATTCATTTCTTTAACAAACTACATCTAACAGCACTCTGATGGTTCAAGAGAAGCAAGACGATTTTTCACAGTATAAATAAGCTTTTATGCATTAAAATGTATAGCTGCCTTTCTTTTATTAACAGAAAGTTTAAAAGAACAATATTTATAATGCTGTTTGTAGCATTATAAATGCCTTTACCATCATTGATGTCTTAAAAAAATTATACATTTACATATTTAAATAAAATTAATAACCATAAATTCCATAAAATTGAAAATAAAACGATAAATACCATTATTTCAATCTTTAAAATGTAAGTTAAACATGTATGAAAGGGCAGTGCTGGGAAGGTTACTTTGGAAATGTAATAGGTAACAGATTACAAGTTACCCTATTTAAAATGTAATAAGTAGTGTAGCTATTTCAGTTACATTATTAAAGTAATGTAACTGATTACATTTGATTACTTTTCTAAATTTAATTTTCAGATTTTTTCTTACTTTGTTTCTAAACTGTTAATCATTTTCAAACATTTAAAGCAGGCAGTGTTCTTCAGCCCTCAAATTAAGATTAAAATAATGTAATTTTAAAGCACAGCCACCACAAAATCAGACTTTAGCAGCTCTAGCTATGATACTGTTTTTGAAATCAAATCTTTGCATAGCTATATGACAGGAAACATTGACATCTAACAAAGCCTTGGGGGAAAAACAGTTAATTAAAAAAAAAAATAAAGCATATACACAAACCCAAATAGGAAATAAAACAGTTATCAAAGAAACTATTATGTGTCCTAAACACTGGTGTCTCATATTTTAGAGCAGTCAATGCAATTTTGGAAAGAAATCAATAAAAACTGTATGCGTGTGAATATACACTACCAGTCAAAAGTTTTCGAACAGTAAGATTTTTAATGTTTTTTAAAGGATTCTCTTCTGATCACCAAGCCTGCATTTGTTTGATCCAAAATACAGCAAAAGCAGTAATATTGTGAAATATTTTTACTATTTAAAATAACTGCTTTCTATTTGAATATATTTTAAAATGTAATTTATTCCTGATCTCAAAGCTGAGTTTTCAGCATCATTACTCCAGTCTTCAGTGTCACATGATTCTTCAGAAATGATTATAATATGCTGATTAGCTGTTAAAAAAACATCTCCGCTATCTTGTCACAACTTTTGGATCTGTCGATTGATCCTGAACCTTGTCTTTTCCTTCTTAATGATGACTCTTCAGTAACCCTGACTCTAAACCAAAAGCGAACTTTGTTCTCAGGGTTAACAGCTGCAAAGAAGACTATTATCAGTTTTTGGCTTCCTCCTACTTCCCTGTCAAAACAGCAATGGCTGTCCTATTTTATAGATATTGTTCGACTGGAGTGATCCACTGCCTTAATTAATAAAGCAAAGACTTCAACCATTCTCCATTGGAACCGAATACACATTAGTCTGATTTCCATTATTGAAACTTAAGTGCTGTAATGGTAAGGGATAGGAGAGCTTACTAAGATGTCCTCTAAGGTATATGTATTCTTTTGTTTGTTTAATTTGTCTTACCTTTATTCCATTAGACATTTTCTCCCTTTGTTTTATTCATTTCTGACATATGTATATAGTTTTCTTACATACATATATATATATATATATACACACATACATGTATATGTTTTCTTATTTTTTTTTTTACTCTTTTTCATGTACGTGTTTTTGTTTCTCTATTGTATTTATGTTTTATATTTGTTATCATGAAGCCAACAGAAAAAACAATCCGCACACGGTCAAATTCAGGGTAAAATTCAGGGCAAAACCTCCTCAAGAAATCTTAAAAAAAGTGACGTGACATGTGGCCAAGTACTTGGAATCAGTGCTCTGCGTTTAACCCGTCCAAAGTGCACACACACACACAGCAGTGAATACACACACACCGTGAACACACACCTGGAGCAGTGGGCAGCCATTTATGCTGCAGCGCCCGGGGAGCAGTTGGGGGTTCGGTGCCTTGCTCAAGGGCACCTCAGTCGTGGTATTGAAGGTGGGAGAGAGTGCTGTACATTCACTCCCCCCACCTACAATCCCTGCCGGTACGAGACTTGAACCCGCAACCTTTGGGTTACGATTCCGACTCTCTAACCATTAGGCCACGACTTCCTCCTTAAATTAAAAATCTTTATTATAATGCTTAATCAGAGGCCGTAAAAAAGTGCCAAGTGCAAAAGTGGAAAGTGCAAAAAGGTTTTCGAGACACAAGCTCTTCCTCAGTGCCACATTGATTAGTGCACACCTGCACCCATTATAACATCAATATTCACCATGGACATCATAATATGCACGCAGGCCCAAAAACACCACACAATATATCCAATTTTACCTTAAGACATTCCTATAAATATATTGTAATGGTAAAAAAATTCCTCAATGCAAAAATACCTTAATACAACATTATTAATGTAAAATGCAAAAAATGTTTCATACATAATTTCACCCATAGACCTTATAAAAGTTTCTTGTATACATATATCATAAAAAACTAATTAAAAATAATTAAAAAAGTTAAATCTAAGGCATTCTCTGTTATCTGTTCTACAACATATTCAAAACATAGTCGTGAGATTAAGGATGTGATTAAAAAACATTGGCACATTCTAACCAGCGATCCTGTATGTGCACGCCTTTTCTCTGACCCCCGTTATTCTTGCATTATAGAGCGAAGGACATAAGAGATTATCTTGGAAGATCAGACGCTTTTGCGGGTAACAAGAAAAGAGATCGTATTGGTAATGAAGTAGGCTTTTTCGCCTGTCATAAATGTGCCGCTTGTAAATATACACTGTTAAAAATTTCCTGTAGAAATTACAGTAAACGACTGATAGACTGCAATGGCTGGACTTAAAAATCATAATTTGTGTTCTACTGAAGAAACAAAGTCACCTACATCTTGGATGCCCTGGGGGTAAGCAGATAAACATCAAATTTTCATTTTTGGGTGAACTATCCCTTTAATAATGTTGTATTAAGGTATTTTTGCATTGAGGAATTTTTTACCATTACAATATATTTATAGGAATGTCTTAAGGTAAAATTGGATATATTGTATGGTGTTTTTGGGCCTGTGTGCATATTATGATGTCCATGGTGAATATTGATGTTATAATGGGTGCAGGTGTGCACTAATCAATGTGGCACTGAGGAAGAGCTTGTGTCTCGAAAACGTTTTGTACTTTTCACTTGGCACTTTTTTACGGCCTCTGATTAAGCGTTATAATAAAGATTTTTTGAGGAGGTTTTGCCCTGCATTTGACCATGTGCGGATTGTTTTTTCTGCTGGCTTTATGATATTTTTGGATTTACGCACTGGACTAACTTTGTGACTTGATATTGGACATCTGGCGCTGCTCTTTATATTTGTTATCAGTCATACTGTCCACACTGAATTAAGTCAATAAAAATTGGTATAGTCATTACTGGTAACTGTGTTCCCAAGAAAAGCATAATAAAGTATTAGTCAAAAAAAAAAAATCCTCCTGTTCAAAGACTTTTGACTGGTAGTGTATTCAGATGTAACCCTCCTTTGTAATAAGTAACTGTAATTTAATTACACATTTTTTCCCCTCAGTAACTGTAACAGATTAGTTACATTTATTTTGTCATTAAATTACGTAACTAGTTACTCCCCAACACTGTGAATGGGACATGAAAATGTATTGCACAGAAAGATTGACCTGCCAGGTAACACGTGTTAAAAGCCAGATCACCTTTACTTTGTCTGTTGAGCTTCTTTCTCTGTTTCTCCTCTTTTCTTTGGCTTTTTTTCACCTCCGGCCTCCTCTCCCAGTTGCGCTGCTTGCGCATGACATTCTTCTGCATAAGCAGTAAATCAGGAAACACGCTAGGAAATTAATTTATCTCGATATTATGACTCAACTGTCTCGCCTTACAGAGCGACTTTAGACTCACTTTCTGCACAACAGCAGCTCTCTTCTTCCATGTGGTTTTATGTCTAAAGTGAGATGGATGTATATTCCCCACAAAGCACCAAAAATCACCTAAAATGTTTCAGATATAAATGTATGTGTGTCACGATGAAATGAGGATCACGGATACGGATAAAGTGAAAGCAAGTTTGATGTTACGCTGCTAAAGATCATCTCCTCCGACAAACTGAAAGAGGAAGCGAAGAATAACTGAAACACATTAGATTTATAAGCATCTAAAAAAATAAAGCCACTGTAAAACCTTTCGTAAAACGACACAAACAGCACAACTGCGGTGAATAATATTTAGGTGTATTTATCGACACCACTCGGCGCACTGTGATGACGCACCGAGCACGCGGTTGCTGCTTGATGTGGCATAACATTTGGAAATTACCTCATAAATATTTAATCACAAATAAAGTAAAATACATTTCTTTCAAACTCATTTATAACTATTACCCCAGTAACTATTTCCTTTAGCTGTGATATATTGATATACTTTGTACATTTTGTAGTCTATAGCCTACAGAAACGTTTTTATTATTTTTATTTTTTTTGGAGTTGTCCAGTTTTTGGTCAGATTTCTGCTTGTTTGTTAGATATCATATCATGCCCAGCGTTCAACTTTGTTTTTAAAATATTTTATTAGTTTTATTTATTTATTTATTTATTTTTTACTTATGACATGTCTTTCCATAAGGAATATTATTTGATTAATTTGTTACTTTTAATGGCAAAGTTTTGTATACATAAATGTAAGCACGGTGATTATAAACCACTATTTATAATTTTGAAATCAGAAGTTCAGCAATACCGAAAATCTGTTTATAATCTGATAAACAAGAAGCTGTTAAGTGTTACATATATGTAAACATTTCCATGTTTTTATTACATTTTTTTAATCTTTTTATTATTATTATTATTATTTTTTTTTTTTCATTGTCTCCACCCCCTGGCTTCTGTAAAATGTAGAATATGAGTATTTCAGTAAAAAAAGAAAAGTAACTATTGCACAAAGATCAATTGTGTACAGTTTGGATCAATAATAGAAGAAGACAAATAAAGCTTTTATACTTATAGTTGTACAGAATTAGTTTATTTTCATTCATAAACAAATTTTTTTTGTAAAAAATCACCACAGCTGCATCTTTAAAATGACTTAAAACAGTCTTCAAGTCAATAAATTGTCAATAAAATCAATATGGTTTTATATAATATAACCCATTTACATTCTTATTTTATTTTTGTGCTATTTCATTTATTTGTTTCTGAACATCTGCTGATGTTGCATCATTGCTATAATGTTCAAATGTAAAATGTTTATTATTACATCAACACAGCAAATGAACATGCATATCTTTACTGGTATTTAGCAAATTTCATATTATTTCAAGATCTGCTATATTACTTTGTTATATATTTTTTTAATATCTATAATGAGTTCCACATTATTTACATGTATTATTTTACCAGAAGCTTTTGTGATTTACAAAGACAGGAGTATATACATAAGTGATTAATTATCATTATGAGATTATAACATCAATGTGTTACAGTGCAAACCCTCATAAAAATTCCAGATGAGGTAGTTGAGTTCAGAGACGTTTATGATAAGTGTCTTTATTGGGAACTGCCATCTGCATGTGACAAGCTGAGTTTTCATGTGGTTGATTGTTGATTTGGAAGAAGCTCTCATTCACACAAACTATAAACCATAACTATAAACCAGCATCATACACTGGCTATAGAAAAGAATCACCCTTTAAAATAAACACATTTTGTTGCTTTGCAGCCTGAAATGAAGACAGACAACATTTTTGTTTTATCCAGCTGTATTTCCTCAGTGCAACTTATAACATGCAAGTGAAAGATATAACACCAACAGAAAAAATCATACAAATAATAAAAAAAAAACTGAGTTGGAAAAAGGATAACCCCCTTCTGTCAGTATTTTGTTGAAGCATTTTTTTTGCTTTAATTACAGTCTTTAGTCTGTTGGGATTTGTCTCTGTCTCTACTAACTTTGCACATCTAGACTTTGCAATATGTGCCCGCTTTTCTTTGCAGAACTGCTCAAGTTCAGTTCAATTAGATGGTGAGTGTTTGTGGACTGCAGTCTTCAAGTTATTGCACAGATTTTCGGTGTGGTTTAAGTCTGGGCTCTGACTAGACCATGCAAGGACATTCAGGTTTTTCTCCTTCAGCCACTGTCTGCTCAGTTTTGCTGTGTGCTTTGGGTCATTGTCATGTTGGAAGGTAAACCTTCTTCCCATTGACAACTTTCTGGCAGAGGGCAGCAGATTTTCCTCAAGAATTTGACAGTATTTTGCTCCGTCCATTTTTCCTTCTATCCTGACAAGTGCTCAAAACACCCCCATAACAGGACATTACCAACTCCATGCTTTACTGTATGCTGTTATTTGGATGCTGAGCTGTACTGGATTTCCGCCAGACATATCGTTTGGGGTTGAGGCCAAATAATTCAATTTTATGGCGCTTTTCCACTGCGTGGTACGACTCGGCTCGGTACGGTGAAAGGAGTGAATTTATTTCCTTATGAAATTAACTCTTCATGAAACCAATACTCAGGAACTCACACAAAACAGACGCCATGCAATAAAACAATAAAACTTATCTGGAGAAGAAATCTTCAAAGAGAACAAACAACACCTTTGAATTGACTATGTAATTGGCATAATACATATTTACCTGACTGATAATAAATTGTTATATTTGATTTATTCTGGATTCTCCTGGAATTAATTATGACCAGTAAATCATAGGAGGCTAATGCAAATCATAGGAGGCTAGTGCTACCGTAAATCTGTGTCCAGGATAGTACAAACTGAAGGTGCATGAATGAAAGGAGCAGTAGGCACGTCATCTGAAGACCTTTTGATTTCTGTCTATCACTGACTTAGCAAGATGTATGGAAGTGGCTAAATCAAGTACACTTTTTGTATGAGTAAGCAGTAGGCAACCGACAAAAAGGTATTAGTTAACTTATTACACCCTCTGACTAAGATCAGACTGGCTAGTTTGTG